ATAGTAATGTTGTAAATGCTCTCTTTCACATATTGATTGATAAATCTGTAAAATTGATGTGTGTGCAAAAAACCAAAAGAAAAAAGGATACATTTCTTTGTAAATAAACGTATATACTTAAACTATTATTACAAATTTAATCAATTTCACTTAATTTCTTTCTTTTTTTTTTGGTTTGTAGAATTATTGTTCTTCGAACGAGAAAATTGGTTTTAAGTTATAATATACACAAGTTAATCATATCAACAAACAAACCCTAAAATGTGGATGGGTCAAATAAAAATATGCTTAATTAGAGTTTGTTTGATTCATCATGAACCGGAGCAATATTAATGATGAATGAAGATTCATTTTAAGTTGTTGAAACGTGTGAGTCAAGTGAAGATCTAAAAGATTATCATTTGACAAGTATCAAAATTAGCAAGAGCTACATTGCAAGAGATAGAGATTAAACTAGAATTATCAACCTTACTCTATGAAGCATCAAGAACGTCTTAAAGTTCTCTAGCGGAAGATTGTGTGGATAAAAAAAAGGCGTACTTAGACGCATGTTCTTATGCTTGTTAATTCATGCTTCAAAATCCAACAAAAAGACAGAATAATTCGATGGGGTATGCAAGTCGGCCCCGGATATGTGTATTTTGCAACAGCTAATTAATGTGAATCAAGAGACAACCATATGGTCTTTATTTGTCCTTAGGTTTGATTTGGTGATGAAACTTGGGAGAATGAATGGGGACATGACTTGATGAGATACAAATCGACCATGTATCTGTGTATTGTGCAACATCCAATGTGACTCGAGAGACCATATGTTTTTTTCATCTGTCCTTTTCTCATGTCTTGTTCCAACCATGTTCATGAGATGGTTGTAAGCTGGTTTGTAGAGAAGTAGTACTTTGGCATGCGTTTACTTACTCTCTTATCTAACAACTCTATTATGGAATGCTACAATCTATGAATGTTGGCGAGAGAGAAATCGCTGCATTCGTGAAATCGAGTTTTTTTTTTCATTGCGGCCCTTATTTCTCTTGCTAGCATATGAACTTTTTATGTTAAATTGTGAAGGCAAATCTCTCATACCCTTTTGTTTGTCATATAAGGTATGTTCACCTTATTCATTCAATATTGTCACCATTTTTATTTGCCGTATAGAGCGAAAAGAGAGAGAAAACAGTGGGACCAATCATACGACTAGCGCATTGTGACTTGATTAGCTAAAGTTCAAGTTCATATTTTTCTTCGACCAATCATGATCTTCATAAATCTAATATTGTTTGCTTGATTTTGTAATTGTTTCGGTAGATTTTGATTAATGTATTATCTAGCTGTAGTCATCATGAGCATATGTTGGTGTTTTCACAATGTTAGAATATCTGATCCTTCTCAAACCATTTAAAATTCTTTTTGTAGTCATTGTATTACTCTTTTGACAAAAAAGAAGCATGAAACTCACGGCCAACAGAAAAATTTGGGTATATATACTTTTGTTATAAACAGGAACCTGATCAGCTAATGTAAGTAAACACATGAATTTAATAATTAGAAAATCAATCTTTACGTTTCTTCGACTAATTTATAAACTAGGTCAAACACTTTATCGTTATGAAATAATATTAATCAAAATAGGGAGATTCTGGTAAAGGTGTCACGGGCATAAACATACAAAGCCGGTTTAAGATAGTGGAGGCCAATTATCGTATTATCCACAGTCTAAAATGTTTAAAATTAATCTAAAACACGAAACAAGTGGAGAGATTGAGGATAAGAGT